CAAAGCAGTGCTGGCATAATACATCCTACCTCAATATAGGGTGAGCTGTGTCACTAGAAGGACATTCTTTGGACAGTATCTCAATTACAAGCTTTGGGACAAATGTAACAAGTAATGGGAAGACTTACACAAGCCAGGCATGGGTAAAGGTGGCTACAGCAGTGAAATGCTAAGTACCTCGACAAGCTACACTATGCCTTCAATTCTCCCTGCAGTTGTTCCTCAGGAAAAAAAAACCAAAACAAAAAAAAAAAACACAATTAAAAAACCTCAGGCTTACTTTGAAAATTTATATGCTCATTTAGAAGGAACTTTTTTCTCTTAAATACCAGACAAGTCAACAGAATTGGATTGGGCTCAGCAGGCTCAGGGCCTCAGCAGCGAGAAGGGACCTTGGGCAAGGTGCTTCTAACACAACTGCCTTCAATTTCAAAAAAAAGACTGTTTCTAGTACCCATGTAAACAAAGCACTAAGTCCAAGATGAACCAGTACACTGATTCTGTTGTCAGTGGCCTAATTAGGTTCCCTCCTTTTGTCATTTGCTGTTCAGGTTATGCCGATTTCCATCCCCTTGGCTGGACAAGTCTCTGGGCAGCAGCACATCACTGCCTGCATGGCCACCTCTGGAAGCGCAGGCATTGTCAGAGGTCCTCTGCTAAGCATCCCACTGACGGTCTCCATTTTCCCCATTTCTCACTTTTGACCCTCAACCACTTTTTTTTTTTTTTATTCATTATCCTTTCTTGTTCTTTGTTTTCTCCCAGGATCCTTTTCCTATAAAGGCTCTTCTGCCTGGGTTAGGGAGAGCTCATAGAACTGGTGCAAGGGGAGAAGAAAGTTTCTGAAGAAAGGAGCAGAGTAAAAGTCATCCCCACACAACTGACCACAGGCCATGCATGGATACAATTAGAAGAGTCCCGTGGTCTTCATGGTATATTTTTATAATTAACATTATATAAGAATGTGATTAACAATTAATATATTTCATAGATTTATTTGATCCAAATTAGGTATGCCTTAAAGTCCAGTCACAATCCACCTGCAACTTCACAGAGAGCTACTGAAGAGCTGATCCAACACAACACACAGGATTGCTCCCAAAAGTGTAACTGTAGATAAAAAACCACCAGCAAACAGAGAGCAGCTGATTCCCTCTGCTGTCTGCAAAAGGAAGGACAAGTCAGGCCCTTGCAGACACATCGTGAAGTCCTCTACCACTTCTCCTGTGCCCCATCACACAAGCTCAAGCTCTGCTCATTCAGATTACCAGAACCAGGACCCAGACAAAGCAAACCTTGATAATTACCAGACCACAAAACCTCCAAACCTCACTCAACACAACCAATTGCACTCGCTGCTGCTTGCCAGGTCCTACTGCCCATTAGACGAGGCCAGGGAATAAAGGCGCATCCAAGGCTTAGCCCCAAACCACCCTCTTCATTTGCGGCTTTTTCTATGACATTTCATTAGCAGGATCCAGTTTTTTATTCTCCTTGGAGAAAACAGCAAGAGGAATAGGGAGCTATCTGCTTGTTCCATAGGGAAAGGGGGAAGGAAAAGCTGGGAGAGCGTGGCTGGTAGTAATGGCATGTTGGAAGGAGATGGGACATCGCTTGGGGTATCTGGGTAAGATTTCTAGAGAGGACAGGGAGCATGTTCCAACATGAACTTAGCCCCTGAAGGACTGTCTGGGTGGCGAGAAGCCCAGAACCACCACCCATCCTGGCCCTGTTTTCCATTACCTCAGCCCACACACACTCCCTTCCACCCTCCTGCCAGCCATGCTCCAGTTGTTCCTCTCCAAAGGCTGAAACAATTGCTGAGCACAGGCAAAACAGAGCCCCACGCTCACAGCACTTGGGGTCTGAGACATCATTCTGGCAAGCTAGTGAGATTCATAGGAGCAAGCAGAACCCCAAGACAGACCCAAGGTCTGCCACAAACACTTCTCTTGAACACCTCAAGGAGTAAGACATAGACCAAGTCCTCCTGAAGCTGGAAAATGCTGTTTTAATGCAGGACAGTGTCCTTCTATTATCACCTCCAGAGACTTGGAGTTAAAAGTGGATCCACACTGCAGCAGAGGATGGTGCTGCCACACACCCTGCATGGTCCCAGACACCTGCTCAGCTGGTGGCCTTCTCATTGTCCTGAACAGGTCAACCACCAGTACCTGTTCATGGGAAGGAATGAAATGCTTAGGGGAGGAAAAAAAGGATGGAAAAAGCAAGGAACAGAAGGGCTCTGCAAAAGGCAACAGGGGGGAAAATTAGTGGGAAAAGGAGAGGTGGTTTACTGTCCTGTAAAGGGAAGGTGAGCTGATTTCCCATTGCAGAGTGAGAAAGCCTGTACATGCATCAATGTACTCCACTATATACCTCCAAGCTCTCAAATAAGCCATCCTCAAGGACCAGGATCACACAATCCTCAACACAGCTATTAAAACATTAGTTTCGTTGCAATCCTGCCATTATTAACGTGGTAAAAAACATGTTTTAACTCCACAAAGTCAGGAACAGTTCTTCAATAACCCAGAGCTGGTATTTGAGATCTTCTCTTCAACAGGCATTTTCACATCTGTGCTTTTAAGATGTTTTGAATGCAACCTTTGAGGCTCTGTTCAAAGAAGCAGAAACCTGGCAGCTGCATGTGAATATCCCAGCAGATACAACTGCACCACCCAACAGTCCCACAGGAGCCATCTGATGGCCTATCCCAACAGGAACAAGGTGTTCAGAGCCACAATGGCAGGAGCAGGCAAGATCCCAGGTGGTACGGGGCAGACACCATGCAGCTAGGAGCAGGGCAGAGGACAGCCACACCACCCACTCTGCACAGCCAGGGCTGTAGGAATGTCAACAGGCAGAAAACACTGAACAAGTTAACCAGGGACAAGCAAAGTTACCATTTTTACACCATAAGGCAGACACCTCATGATGCTCAACGGCAGCCTGACAAAGACTTAACTTGCATTATACCTTGGCTACAGCACAGGAACCCATTTTCCTTTAGAACTGCCCATATAGGCTCCATCTTCTGCCTGCGATCCCACTGCCAAGCACAGCTGTGCTCCACAGCCCCACTTTGGTCAGTGACCTACACAGACAACACCCTGGCTTTTCTTATGTATGTAATATTCTGCATGTTTTATTGGTTGGGAAGCCTCTTGCTGAAATTACTGTACAATTTTCACTTGTTTCAGCCAAAATACAAGGGCAATTTTGCTTAAATAAGCCTGCCTGTGCCATTAGCTCTATCTCACCAGGGAAATTTGCTCTCAGTTGTGCATATGACATCATCTATTGACATAACCCCAAGAAACAGGCATTTCAAACTTTGCCATTTCAGATGTTGCAATTATACTCAAGTTTAAATGAATTTTTGACACTAGACTTGCACTGGGTTTCACTTCTGTATCATGCACTCTGCTTAACTTTATTTTTCCAAAAAGTAGCACTTGCTTCTGGATACTTGCATTGGCTTCCACCATGCCTAGGAATCTTGACTACAGAAATGAAGGTTGTTATAACAGCAAAACTTAAAAAATATTTCCAGTGACAATTTTACAAATCCAATTATACATTCCGCTTCTAAGAGTGACCTGGAAAAAAGAAAACCCAGTTAAAAAGAGACCCCACACTGAACAAAGGTTTTTGCCATGTCTTGCAATGGCAACCGCTCCATGACCTCAACTGTGCAAGTCCTTCAAGTAGAAAAAAACCTCAACCTGCTAAAGCCTGCTTTATTGCCCTTCTGTTCTCAACTGTTTTTTCTGCTGTGAAAAACGTATCAGTTGCATTAATTCTCACACATAGCAAAGATTAAATGAGTTTAATAGTTATCATACAACTGCTTAAATTTTAAGTATTCTTAGTGTCTTCATACCATCACTGCAGTTACTACACACAAATACAGCATTCAAGCTTCTGAAGCAATACAGCATTTAGACAAGAGCCTTGAGGAGTTCAGTGCCAGGGATGACATCCATGCTTTTCCTTCCCTTCATCTGAGAGAGTCCTTATACCTCGGCAT